CTACATTCAATAAATAAACAGTGAAATACACATGCTAAGGAGTAGTTACACACCACACATAAAATAAGCACAATTAATGCACATACACGTGCCACCTCAATCACTTGGCATTCATAGCCCACATTCAATTACAATAATGCAATGTGACACACTGACTCGACACAAAGCATGTGGTACCAACACAATCTCATACGGTTCACACTAGAACCCGATTTCCATCGGAATCCGGGTAAGTCGTATATACGTTCCTCTAAACTACAACTTATCTCCACAACGACTCCCACATTGAAGTCCGGATGAAACTAGGCACCCATCATGGATTCCCACCTAGCCATCTCCACAAGACACATGATATGAAATGCATGTCAACACAATTATGCAATGTAATACATCATGCATAATTCACGATCAATCTTGATCCATACGAGCCATCCTCTCACCGTAATCCTCTCAGGAATTACCACAATTGCACAAGATTATCCACATTCGACCATCTTTGCCCATATCTATCAAAACACAAGACATCATTGAACCAGAACATGATTCGTTACTAAAACATATACACAATTGACTTCTCAAACATAATTAGATATAAAAATATTGGGAAAATAATTCCATTATCTATCGTATGTTATAGCTCTGTTCATTAGCTTTCCAACGCTTCGAACGGGGGTCAAAACGGACTTACGGATCCAAAGTTACGTCCAAAACAATTTCGACCGAAAACATGAACAGTCGTGACGGACAGAAAGACGCTGTTACGCTCCGGAACTGATTTTCACTCAATTATTCTTGCGAATTACTTACTCAAAGCACCCAAAACATCACTAAAACATTCCTAAGGTTATACGGCAATAACGACACAACTTCTATGGTTTATTATGCTCATCTGGCAACATTTGCAACACATAAAACACTATTTCTTGCAATTGCTCTGAGTACTCCAGAGTTACTCACATTTGAATATTCTTATTCCTATAAGAACAACATATTACAATTTTTCCTTCAATTACACTCTACGACATTAAATTACTCACTATCTAATATTCAATCCCTTCAGGGTCAGACATATAACAATGTCAAGGTTCTGGTCACGAAGGTTCAATTTCCCATAAGTTTTACCTATATTAATATTCAACGATACATATCATTTGGCCATTTGGTCATAATCTCAGATTCTTACAGTTACCTCCCTATTTCCCACAATTAACCCAAATCTCTAAACCTTAGGGAAACCTTAGAGCATCGTACTAATATAACACATTCATTTCTACATATTTACCCAAATCCCTAAAAGTTCAGATTTCCAGATCTACTACTCACTAGTATTCTATGACAGCATCAAGGATTTCTCACACGAATTTCGTATTAATTCTGGTTTCGAATACACAAAACATCATACAAACAGTATTCAACAATAACAGAAAATTTGAGAACAAATCAAGTTGCGAAAATTGGATTTAAGGATCCTCAAGAACACATAATTCCTACGAGAGAAAGGACCTCTCACTACCCTCTCATGTTAATTCACCCATATTGAAATCCATTCTCCCCCCTTACCTCGATTAATTGCTCAATCGTTGAAGAATCTTGAAGGATTGACAACCCTAGCCTCCTTCTCTTCCTCCTTGTTCTTCTTCTCACTTTTTCTCCCAAAACCTTTCTCTGGCAGTTTATCGTGTTCTAATTCTCTTTCCCCAAAAAACTTCTCTATTTCCTGTAATCCCTTATTTCTTATTTTATTATTTAAATCCTATAATAATAATAATAATAATAATAATATTATTCTCCCACTAATAATAATATTCATACTAATAGTAATAATATGAATAATAATAATATTCCACCAAATAATATTATTAATACGAATAATAATAATAATAATAATAATAATAATAATCTCATTAACATTATTATTAATAATAGTTTGAATAATATTAATCACTATGATGTTCTCGATATCATAATTAACTTACTCCTTTATCTAGGTCCACAGTACCCCAACTAAGGTCACCTCTCTCCCTTACTCCTAACCTCATACCCTTAATTAAGGACACCACACAACTACACCTCACAGAAAATACCAAAGCGACTGAATAATTTAAATGGGGTGTTACAGTCTGGGATTTGGTGGGATTTCCAAGAAATTGTTTTCATAATTGGCCATGACGTCATGGACGTGCTTGAAAAGTAGCTGAACTGTTTCTTTTAAGTCATGGGTAGTCAGTTACATTGACACCTATATGGAGTCGAAAGATGGCGTCGAATAAGACACTATAAAAAATAGCATTTTTCTTCAGCATTGTCGAAAAAGACAATTTTTGGGGAGAAATTTGTTAACTCACAAATTCGACGCCCACATTAAAATAGAGTGTTTGGTTGAAATGTTAACTTCTCGAGGTAATGTGGAAAAGCCTTCGAGTGGGCCTTTGCCATAAATGAAATCGAAGGCATTCACATAAGAAAGGAAGACTTTTGGGACTTAGAAAATATTTCTAAAATTGGAGAAGTCACCTTCGATCGAGAATGCTGACCAAATACTAATAGAATTTGAAATTCAAATAAAGGAGGGGGTAGTTATGCTTTCTCATTTCTGAACGAGACAAGTGAAGCACATCTAAGAGGCAACTTCATGCAACACGATACTTGTCAGGAAATGATTATCTTGAGCAGTTAATTTTACTATTATAAATAGGGGTTCTAGTAATAGGATCCAGGGTGTTGTGTTTACTATTGTACAAGTCACTCCAAATTTACTCAAAGTATCCGTGTGTAGAGAAAAGAGTTCTGGGAGAATGTACGTAATGTAAAAACACCATTTTATGCTTTAATGAAATTTACTTTCACTTTGTATTAAAAGAGTTTATCCTTTACTTTCCTGCAATTTACGTCTTTGGCATTACGCTTTGTTTCTTTTAAGCCTTTTTTCATTAAAGTGTTTTACCTTTTCTTTCAAATTAATGTCCTTACATTCCTGTCGAACCATACACTTAAATTAACCTTTCTTCATAAACATTGTCGAAGTGTTCAGTCTTTAGTATTTTCTGTAGATTAAAATTTAGCACATGTCCTAGGATCAATCTGATCGACCCTGTGAGTCATCAAAGTTAGATTTGGAAGATCAACGGTTGTTTTTCAATTTTCACAGGAAACACCATCACCACTCTCTATCAAACCATAACTAGATCCAAAATTATCATTAAGTACAGTAAGATTGGGTTGAGATAATAAACTTTTGAGGGATCAACGTTTATGTCATATAGGTTTTTCGTATATTGTTGACAACAAAGAATCTCTACCATCATATTCATTCACCATGTTCTCAGTTATATTTTATACATTTACCATAATAAAGACAAGAAAGGAAATCAACAAATGAACATGAAGGAATTATAAATGGTACACGAGTAAAGAAACAAAGCGAAGAAATAATTAAAAGAAAGATAATCTTAGGAATGAGGATGAATTAAGAACACTAGATCCAAATAGGAAGAAAAAGTGGCAAAATGAGAAGTCACTAGAATTTAGAAAAGGAAGAAAGGGCTTGTGAAAAACAAGAACAAAATTGGAAGATGAAAAAATCAACGTTGTAGAATGAAAGAACATAGAAGATGAAAAATCAACAATCATATTTCACCTAAAAAAGTAACAAAATTTGAGTGCACTCGAGCACCATAGGGAGAAGCGCCACGTCCTAACCTTCAAACATAGGGCCACGTGAGAAGAAAAAACTTATGAAACATCCACTTCTTTACACAAGATCCCATATAAAGATACCGACCTATTTGTTAAAAGACTTCTTATACATCATGTCACGATAAGCTTTGGGGTAACTATTCTGAGTCCGTCACATGCCCAATACTGCATATGCCAAATTGTCACACATTGTATATAAACCACCGCATGAACAGAAAAAAGATATGATTATATTCATAACACATTCTACACTATTTCTTTCAGACATTAACTTTCATATTAGAGTGTTAATCTTTCAAGTCCACCTCACAAACTACATCGAAGCAATACGCGCCACCATATCAAAAATATACACCAACAATTATGGTTCCAATGCGAATATAATATATTGATTATTACCACTTTATATATCCAAAGGGAGTATTCTTTAATTTATAGCCACGTGTCTAAAGGGTGTAATTGGAATTACAGTACCAAATATATGTTTCTAACCGCAGCGGAAATGAGACCCCATCCGGTATTACTTCAGGGTTCCTCACGGAACGCACATAGTCGCAAAACACAAAGTTAAGAACCCTAAAAAACTAAAGACAAAAAAAATGAAGCCCTAGAAAAGCATCAGAGAAGCAATTTCGCACTCCCTTAAGTCTCAGTCTTTTTCTCTTATCACTGTTTTCGATAAACCATTTGCTGGTTCTTAGCTTAATTTTGCGTATTTCGTTTTCTTTTATTATTTTATTTCTTTTCGACATTGTTTTGCTTCAGTGTTTTCAGGAGTTAATTAAATTGGGTGCATTCGATTTCGTTGTTCGGGACTCTAATTTTCGACGCTTTTTCTGTTTCTCCATCTTCGGTAATCGTTTTCCTCTACTCCAGTTAGGGTTTCGATTAAAGAAGCGACGGTTTTGTTCCTCGATTCTTCGGTAACTATCATCACTGTGAGTAAAAATTAATACTTTTTTTAATGTATTTTTATTCATTTCACTATTAAAGATTGTTTTATTTGAAATTGTTGGTTTTGGATCTGCTGCTTTCAATTTGGGATTTTTTGTTTGACTAATTTACTTCAGCAAGGTTTCAATTTGAATGAATGATTTGTGTGCCCTAGAATTCTTAAAACATATGGTTTATCTTGCGGCGATTTAACGTCACCTGTTGTTTTTTTTTGCTCTGATACAAACTATATGAGTATGAGTTAATAGGCTGTTTGTTTCTTTGTTTCTGATAGTTTTTTGAATTTAATGGCTTATTCCAGGTTAAAGAAAGGTTAAAGAAGGTGTTCAGTCATTTATATTTTTGATACAATGTCGTCAAATTCGAAGTACCCAATTCTTGATGATAAGCCCATCAATCAGTGGAAGGTTACAGAGCTGAGAGAGGAGCTTAAGAAAAGGAAGTTAGCAACCAAAGGTTTAAAGGAGGATTTAATCAATCGATTGGATGAAGCTATTCGTGAGGAAAGGGAGGGTGCTGAGTCTTCCCCCGAACAGGAGGAGGGTGCCGAGGCTTCCCCCGAACAGGAGGAGGGTGCCGAGGCTTCCCCCGAACAGGAGGAGGGTGCCGAGGCTTCCCCTAAACAGGAGGTGGCGGCTGAGGCTTCCCCCAAACAAGAAGAGGCTGCTGTTGAGGCATCCCCTGAACAGGAGGAGGCTGCGGTTGAGGCCTCCCCTGAAAAGGAGGCTGTTGAGGCTTCCCCTGAACAGGAGGCTGCAGAGGGTTTGGAGAAGGATGAGGCTAATGGTTTACATACTCAAGAAGATGAGGTAAAAGATTCCCAGACAGGTAATATGGACGCTGAAATGGTTGATACAACTTCTGAAAAGGGGAATTACGGTGTAGAACCATTTGAAACGGAAAATGTTGTGAAGGTTCCAGAGGCCGTGGATAATGACGGTAGTAAGAGTATTGAGCAGGATGCTGTTACTGACCCAGTTGACAATAATAATACCGTGTCTGCCATGGACGTAGAAGGCGAGCATGCGGTTTTGCCAGTTGGTGTAGAATCTGATAACGCGGGAGAGGAGGTAGTTGCCCATCCTTCCACTGTAGAGACCACTGTGGAGACTACTGTAGAGACCACTGTTACGGTCACTGAGACTGTAGAAACAGAAGTAGTAGTCACTGGTCAGGATCCTGATGGTTCAGAGAAGAATAATGAGGATTCAGCTGCCAAGCTAGAGAATGAGGAATCAAGGGTGCAGCTGACTAGTGAGGAGTCAAAGCTCCAGCTGGAGTGTGACCCGAAGCCTACCTGTGATGTTCTCATGCCCATCTCTTCTGCTCCAGAAAACCAGGTATCTGAGGTCAACCCTAGTTTAGGGTCTCAAGTAAAATCTGATTCTTTTTCTACTGATTCTGTGTCAATTAATGAAAAGAATGAACTAAAGGATACTATAATTGCTAATAATGTCAAATTAGAACAAGATAATGTTAGGCCAGAGATGGTGGAAGAACCATCATCCACAAATGACGTACCTGTTTATGATGAATCGCATTCGCATTCAATGGATGTTGGTGGAGGGATGCATGAAAAAAAGTCACATGTTGAAGAAAATAACAACAATGTTACAAGTCCAGAGTTGAACAAAACCAATAGTAGTGATGATGTAGGGTATCCAGAAAAGTTGAACTTGGACAGAAGTTCTGGTGATGATTCCATGGAAGAGGACTTGCCTGAGACTAGGCAATATGATTCTAAGTTTAATGTTGATGAACTTAGGGACAAAGTCGAGAATAATGAAGTTCCTATGGTCAATGAAGAAAGCAAACCAATGGTTGAGGGAGATGGTGTATCCGCAAGAAAAAGCGATACCCATCAAGATATTGACATTAGTCCTGTTTCCTTGACCGAGAAGCGAAAATATCCTGGTAAGCATCATATATATATTTTTTGTACTCTGGCTTACTTTCATTTTAGTTTTGATTGTACAGGTACATCTTAGGGAAAGCAAGAAACTACATGATGATTGTCCCTTCATCCTGAATTATTTGAAATTTTTGTTTCAGAACAAACATTAGTCGGAAATAATGAGCCTGCAAAAAGGCAACGCAGGTGGAACACTGATACTATTAAAGGGTCAGATCTGCAAGGCACTACTCCCAGACCCGCCATTACACCCAAGGATGGACAAATTACTCTGAAGCGCAGCTTTTCTAGGTCTAATTCCTCAGCAACTGATGATACACCTAAAGAACGCATTGGTAAGTTGACATTATGCAAAAATTGTGGAAAATCTTTGAAGAACTGATACACTCCTATATCAGGTGTTATATTAATGATTATTAATTTTCAATTCATAGGCTGTAGCTTGAATAAATATGCAAATAAATTTGTAGCACTTAACTTTTTATTTTGGTCAGTACACTTATAAATGTATATCTCTTATTTTTCTTTTCTCATGCTTGTATGTATTTTCCAATTGAAGTTGAGGTTTAAATCTTGGTGCTGACTGCATGCTTTCATATATCTATGTTTCTTTCTATGATGTACAGTATCCTTATTATATGGGTTTCTTTGTTGCCTGATTGGTGTGTGTTTGTGTCTTCTATCTCTTCCTTTTTGAGTCTAAATGTTTCTTTTGGCAGTTCCTCCATCACGAAGGACCCCAACTAATTCCCTCAGGATTGATCAATTCCTTCGTCCATTTACCCTAAAAGCAGTGCAAGAACTTCTTGGCAAAACTGGGAGTGTCAGCAGTTTCTGGATGGACCAAATAAAGACTCATTGCTATGTTACTGTAAGACAGTTCTTGTTTCACTATCTTCTTGTTACTGTAAATTCCAACGTGATGTTATTACATTAACGTATGGTTCTAACTTCTAAGTAAACTTCTATTTTTTTTGGTGATGCCAGTACTCGTCCACCGAAGAGGCTGTTGAGACACGAAATGCTGTGTATAATTTGCAATGGCCTCCAAATGGTGGGCGGCTCTTGGTTGCAGAGTATGTTGATCCTGAAGAAGTGAAAATGAAGCTAGAAGCTCCTCCTACTCCAACTGCCTCTGTAAACAGTGTTCCAACACTTCCTCCCGCACCACCATCATCACAGCCGGAGCCTTCCCCTCGTCAGCACAGGGAGCAGCATCTTCCAGTTGCTCTCCCACCTCCACCACCATTGTCAAGGCCCGCACCAGTTGCAAGGGAACGACTTCCATCGCCACCACCCCTTCCTGAGAAAGTGGAACCACCTATTGTCACTCTGGATGACCTCTTCCGCAAAACCACAGCAACTCCTCGTATCTATTATTTACCTTTGTCTGAAGAGCAAGTTGCTGCAAAACTTGCCGCACAGGGTAAAAGTACGAGGCAGTAGGCAATTAACTGGCTATTTGTCTCGGGTAGCTTGATGCTTTTTTCTTTATGGTCATTGTGCTAGTTAGTGGTATTATGGAAGCAGTGAATGCATCTTGGCTGGTATTTGTATCAGAATTGTCATTTGAGGTTTGAATTTCTTTGTTAGTGTTGAAACTTCTTAAACTAAGAGCCACTTGTGTGGATATATTTTCCCTGCTATTCGAACTAGTTTTAGTGAACCTTTTCCCATCTATTTTAGACTTTGATGAAAATTTCAGACATAAGCTTGTGTTTACTCTATTGCCATGGAACTGAATTGTGGGATCAACCCGTTAATGGCATGTGATTGTTTTTTGTTTGTTGATGTGTGTTTTTATTTGTATAATGTCGTGTTTTGTATGCCTGTTGGTGGTAGGGCGCAAACTGGTTTTCTCCAAACCTCATGTTTCACTAGACAATCCATGCACTGGATAATGGTAGATCTTTGTTAGAAGGAATCTGTGATTTTGTTTAAGCTCTAATGTGCAGCTTTGGGCAAAATCATATTGGTTCACCTTGATTATGACAATTTCAACAATTCAAACTTGTTCTAAGTTATGAATTTTACCTGCCAATTTTTTCATGGCACTGTATTTTTTTTCTCTTTGATGGTCCAATATTGTAAAATGCCATGTGGATTCCGGCAAGAGTAAGAAAAATAATAGTGATATTTCCCCGTGCAACTAACTTTATGAAAAAAAAAAAGAAAAGGAAAAAGGGCCTAATGGTTGTTAATATTGTATAACTGTTTTAACCTGTCCTTATTATAGGTATGTTTCTTTAGTAATATGACGATGACTGCTTTAACTTGCCTCACCATAAAAGGCAAAGAACACAGAACGATGCATCTCACTAACAGTTTACGTGAAGACAAATATATGAAGTGTATTATTTAGCAGACTAATATGTATTGGATTTGATTTTTCTGAAAGTGTAAAAGAATCTAAGATTAATATTATAACCATATTTCTAAAGTAAATTATTCGTTTTAGAGGTCTTTAATGGAATCTGGCCCGTGGCCTATAGACAAAGGGGTAATAATGACTAAACTTTTACACGCAAATATGATATTGAGTATTTGGGTTTATATTCTGTCAACAACTAGGATTTAAACTCTGATAAAAAGTCTAATCTAACAATATCAATATTGATTTGTGTCGGTTAAATTAGAATTTGCAGATGACATATTATATTTAAGAGGGATGAATTTTAACAAATGTTTGCTGACATGTTTTTTTATTATGAATCCGGCTGAAGCCTATAATAACTTTCTCATCAACTCTCTTAGAGTTTATCTTTATTTATTTCTTTTATGCAATTATCTCAATTAAGTCTTTATTAATGTCCGTTTCAGAATTTTTTATTCAAATAATTCAACTTTTCAAAAAAAAAAATCTCAAAATAACACACTTTTTAAAATTATTTCTAAAGTACTCTAGTTAGGGCTTGAGATTACACAAGAGTGCCAGATGGATTGGCGACACCTTGTTAAGGCGATAAGGGAGTCGCCAATTGGATTGAAGACTCCTCATGCAATCTCCAATCCAATTGGCGACTTGGTGTGAACTTACAAGGGTGTTGCCAATTCATCTAGAGACCCTTTGTATTTTGAAATTTTTTTTTATCTATAGGGGTGTCCAAAAATAATTAATACATTACGTCAGACGGAAAAATAAATGTTATCATTAATTAAAAAAAGTATTACATAAACTAATGTTGGCGAACGGGTTGGTCATACTGGCCACCTGTTCCACATCTCCTAGGCACCCTAACTTGTTGTGCTCGTCCTCCACATTGTTGATTCACGCTTGGTGTTTGAGGAGTTAAAGTCTCAGGAACATTTCCAGATGGTTTCCGAAGGATCTCTTGCATTTCCATTAGGTCTTGTGTGTTGAAATTGAGCGTGCGACCCATGCCAGAGTAGTTCGAATGTGATGAAAGGGTCATTGGTGTGCGGCCTGGACGGTTGAAGGGGGACATTAGTGTGAAAGATTCGTTGGAGAAAGGTTGAAATGGTAGTGGTGTTTGAAAGCCATAAGGTTGTTGAGATGATTGAGTGGGTAGGCTAAGGTATGATGTCAGAGCGTTTTGGCTATGGAAAGATGTTTGGGCGTTATGGCTATGATATGATGTACCCTCGTTATGGCTATATCTTGATGTTGCGTTGGGGCTATAGCCATATTGGGATTCTGGGTAGTAGTCAGTGTGTGGGAGATGGTATGGGGGACGTTCTTGGTATTGTGGTTGGGTGTTTGACATGTTTGGATGGTGAATGGATTGGTAACTCTGTTGGGTGAGGGGCTGTGAGTAACATGGCCTTTCTGGTGGGTTAGACGTTGAACCGTCTTGTGTGTAGGTGGTTTGGCGTGAGTTGTATAAATATCTGTCTTCGAAGACAAACTCAGTTGCAACCGATCTGTACCAAGCCATATAATTAATAGTTGGTATAAATGGTGTTGCCATCACCGGGTCATGTAAGACATGGGCGTTGCGGGTCATCCATTTATGACACTCAGATTTTGCAAAATCATTCCAGTCAGGAAACTCCCATTGATCATTAACTCTTTTTAGATTCCATTTACTGATGTCAATAGGAGGATTTGGAATGTTTTGATGCATTCCAAATTGTAGTTTGACACGCTAACTGTTGTGCATCTCCATAATTATGAATCTGATAATCGGGACACATGCAATCTAAACAACAACATCTTCCTGTCTAACTTCATCTAGGTGTTCCATGTTTAGATATAAACTGAAGAAGAGAAAAATATTAGATCATTAAATAGTTTATATAAAATACAAATTGGTGTAGTTTAGATGCCTTACATCTGCAGGTGTTAGGTGATTCAACAAATTGCGGTATTGAATGATACAATGTCTAGGGCATCTATTGCAAGTCATATCTTTAGCCGACCATCTAAACCAAAAACAGTTCAAACTCAATTAGTTAGAAAGAAAAATTATTAAGTGAAATAACCAAAGATTAAGTGATGAACTTACTTTTGTGTATACAGGAAGGAAAAGTCGTTGTGGTTGACGGGCGCTAGGGATGACAATCTAGACCAACTTCATGCTTGGAGCAAAATGGTGCATCTAGAAAAAGTAGATGTGTTTTTTTTGACATAAAGAACTATATAAATAAGACAGAAAGCGGAGCCCCAACTATACTATCTTGTTTTAGTCAGGTCTCTTAATAAAGGTAAATACATTATGTGCATAGAAGAACCAGTGTCCTTGGGAAATAACAATAAACCAATTAAAAGCATTAGATAACATTTGGTTTTTATTATTTTCATTTCCTCTGTAGAATCTTCATCTAATATAAAACCAGCGTACCATGATTTTAGGCGCGAAAGTAAGATACTTTGGCCTCTCGAGTTCTCATCTAGCAAGTCGGCACCCAAAAGTTCCTCACAAATTGAACCATTAAAGTTTTTTGTTCCATTGACTGCCTTTCCACCAATACGCAAACCGAGTAACATGTACACGTATTTTAAGGTCACAGTATATTCACCGGTTGATAAAAAGAAGGTGTGTGTTTCTGGGCGCCATCTCTCTTGCAAAGCTAGTATAAACTTTGCATCAACGAAATAAGACATGATTTTGCTTACATGTCCGAAGCCGTTGAGCTCAATATATGGTTGAATTAATTCGTTGGGTGTAACATATTCATGGGCACGACACCGAAACTTAGAGACTTCATACATAATAATAAAAAAAATATATTAGACTTAAAAATTAAAAGAGTTAAAAAAATTATAAGAGTAAAAAAAAATTAACATATACAATAAACAATGAACACTTACATCAGTCGCGATATTTGCGACAATGCCTCTATGTGTTTCACCCATTGTCAACAATGCCATTACAACTGATTAAATGTGAATCAGATAACTAGTATACTGACACAAATAGATTTGATATTACCTCTCTGCAACAAGTAAGAATCAGATGGTGCATTTTACCCATGCTTGTATCATCATTTTATAGAGAATTCGTCTGAACATGCAAGCCAGAGGAGTTGGCGACTCTATTGAACATTTACAAAGGGGTGAAAGTCCAATTGGTGACCCCTGCTAGGGAATCTAGCTCAGCAATGTAGCCTGAACCTTGTTACATACATGCAAGGGATGTTGTCACCCATATGGCGACAGACCACATTAAAGTTGTTCCATGTTGCCAATGCAGGTGGCGACTCCATTAAATGAATGTTAGATGTTGCCAATTGAGTTGGCATCTGCAATTAATTAGTTTGTCTTTGTCGCCAATTAATATGGCGCCTTAATGGATGTCCGAAAAACATAAATATGTTCCCATGCATGCAGACACTCATAGAAATAATTTTACTAGTCCACTACTAGTTCTTTTAGTATGTCATCTGCACCCAGATATATTGTGAATGCCCACTACAACTGAGAGACATATGTCTCCGATGTATTTGGGTTTGGTTTTCAAAACACTGACACTGTCCGTTTCACAATCAATAGAAACACAAGTTTCTTGCATTTCAGAGAAAGATTGGAATCGGAATTAGGGCTCGGTCCTATAGCACAAATAATATTTCAAAACCCGGTTTATTTTGAAACCAACCACGTTAAATTTTATCCACTTAAAATGCGAGACGACGAAGATGTATAAAATATGTTCCTAAGTGACGAACATTTTGATTTCAACTACATTGAGTTGTATACGTTCATCCAACAAAATATTCCATCTCAACAGTCTCAGATCATTGATCAATCAAATTTTTTTTGACTCAGATGAAACTGAATCACAATACTTAGATGAAACGGAACCAGAGGTCAACGTCATGGATGCAGAAGAAGAAGGAAGTGACACGCTGGTAGATGAATTGTTGAACGACAACGTTGAAGATGACAAAAAAATACCAATACCTCCAGGTCATGCATACTATCCGCCTCAACATATGACTGACTTGGACTTGCAAGACGATGAGAGATCCGCATATATGTTTCACAACTCGTATAGACGGTTAGAGAATGAGTTAAAAGTTGGAGACCAATTTTTTACCAAGGCGGATTGTGTACGATCCATTAATAAATATCACATGGATAACTCTGTTGATTTCAATGTACATCAAACTGATTTGAGAAGGTATGTCATTATTTTTCGTAATCCACTTTGCAAGTTTCGGCTTGCTGTATCTTACAGCAAGAGAAGCGATTCTTGGATGATAGCTTCCATATAGCCACCTCACAGTTGCACTGTCACAAATATTGTTCAGGATCACCGAAAGCTAAGTGCAAAGTTGATATGTCAAGACATTTTGCCGCTTATTAACAAGGATCCTTCAGTCAAGGTGAGTATAATAATCTCTCATATTGTAACGTGGTATAATTATACTCCATCGTACAAGAAGGCATGGATTGCAAGGACAAAGGTTGTTGAACAAGTCTTTGGAAATTAGGAGGATTCATATAAAGAATTACCGCAATTTTTGGTAGCGCTAAAGACATATACACCAGGAACTGTTGCAATCATACAAACAGTGTCTGCATGTAGGCCAGATGGAACAACTGTTGATGGAAATATCATATTTCACCGTCTTTTTTGGTCGTTTCAACCATGCATAAGAGGTTTTGCATTCTGCAAACCTGTTATTCAAATTGATGGAACATGGCTCTACGAAAAATACAAGGGCACCTTGCTTATGGAAGTTGCACAAGACGGTAACAATAATGTCTTTCCCATAACCTTTGCTCTGTTTGAGGGTGAGACTGCTTCTGCTTGGAGTTTCTTCCTTAAGAATCTCATAACACATGTCGCTCCACAAGCCAACCTCTGTTTGACTTCAGACATGCATGCTGCTATAGGGAGTGCATACAATAACCATGATAACGGGTGGCATAATTCTCCTTCTATCCATGTGTCTTGCATTAGACATATTGCACAAAACTTCATGCGTGTAATCAAAGACAAGAACCTTCGCAAAAAAGTTGTGAATGCCGAGTATGCTCTAACTCAACCAACAGTTCAATACTACCTTAACGAAATTAGGATCTCAAATACAGATGCAGGAAGCGGGTTAGACAACATTCCACTTGAAAAGTGGACAAGGGCTTTTCATGGTGGATGTCATTGGGGCCACGACGACAAATCTTGTGGAATCCATGAACGGGGTATTCAAAGGAATTAGAAACCTTCCAATCACCGCTTTGGTGAGATCAACATATTATAGGTTGGCATCACTTTTCGCAACAAGAGGCGAGAGATGAAGTGTAATGTTAACGTCCAGTCAGGTATTCAGTGAAAGCATTATGAAATTGATGAAAAAGGATAATATCAAAGCCATTACACATGCAGTTACAGTCTTTGATCGCCATAGGCAAACATTTAGTGTACAAGAAATAATGGATCATAATGAGGGGAAACCCAATTTATCTTATGCCGTCAGACTAAACAAATGTTGATGTGACTGTGGCAAGTACCAGGCCTTCTGTGTACCTTGCTCACATGTCATTGCGGCATGCGCACATGCTCGTCAGGATGCTTATGACTATCTATCTGATGTTTACAAGGCGATTAATGTTATGAACGTATACAACGAAGGCTTTGTAGTGCTACCAATGGAGGATTATTAGCCTCCATACCAAGGTGACATAGTTTGGCACGACGATGACATGAGAAGAAAGAAAAAGGGACGCCCAAATAGTAAGCGTATAAGAACCGAAATGGATACAACTGATAAAATGATAAGATTGTGCACTATATATCGTCAGCCCAGACACAACCGAAAAAAATATCCTAATGTCGGAGGCACATCTGCATCATGATTTAACTTATGGTTTCATTTGTTGTAACCAAATATTTTCATATATTGATGAGTTTTTGTTACAACGGTCTTAACAACAAACAAGACTAACAACACACAACACATATTAGTTTCATAAAACATAAAATATTAACTAGGTGATTATGACATTCCTAACTGATTACAACAATCAAACTAATTTCATTCGGTCCAAACATGACTTCCCTCGCATCTTTTTCTGCCTTAACACGAACCCATCCACGCAGTTGATCAAGTCTCTCGATACTACATATCTTTTCCCCTTCACCAATGTCTCCTTCCAACCACCGATCCAACTCCCTCTTAAGTTGATTGAAACTTTGTATGTTCCAAAACACATGTCCATCAGAGGTTTCCCTCTCGAATAAACGACTTTTTCCCTCCGGCGACGATACATGTTATTAGCAGAACAAAGATATCAGATGAAATGTGGAAGTAAATGATCAGAACACCTCTCTATATAAAAAAAATTTCAAAATACAAGGGGTCTCCAGATGAATTGGCGACACCCTTGTAAGTTCAACACATCCAATTGGCGACTCCCTTATAGCCTTAATAAGGTGTCGCCAATCCATCTGACACCCTTGTGTAATCTCAAACCCTAACTAGGGTACTTTGAAAATAATTTTGAAAAGTGGGTTGTTTTGAATTTTTTTAAAAAAAATTGAATTATTTGGATAAAAAATTCTCCGTTTTAAACCTTTTTTTATTCAAAATATATAAAAATGAATCTATTAAAAATTGAATTGTTTTCAATTTTTTTTCTCAATCCTAACAAAAAATTTCTATTGAAATAAAAATATTTTACTCTATTCTACTTAAAAAAAATATTGAAAATTATTTGATCAAATTTTCACTATATATAAATTCTACACTTTGAAATAATTTTATATATCAAATCCACCTTAAACCTAAAAAACCAAAACACTTTAAAAAAGTTAAACTAGAATCAAATTTATTTAATTGAAAGACTTAATTTACTTAAAAAAGAATGTACTTAAATTTTTTTTACTTAAATCATTGAAAGACTTAATTTACTTAAAAAAATTTAATAACCAAAAGAATTGTTAATAGGGTGTACCGTACTACGTCTTCTCAAATTTCTTCTTTTCTTGTATGCAACTCAATTTGTAACTCAAATTTCCCCCTCTCTTCAAATATAGATTTACCTATTGAACCTCTTTCTCCTCCAAAATCTGTTCTAGGGTTTATATTCTCAAATTGAACCCTTTTTGGTTTTCCATAAATTGGCTTCCCAGAATACTAGGGTTTCGGTTTTATAATTCTCGTTGAAGCGATGAACACGAATAGAGATTTCAAGGAGCTGATACTTGCGGACAAGCTCTCCAAGCTTACTAACTCTCAGCAGTGCATTGAGAGTATCCTTTTTTATTTTTATCGTCTTTGATTTATTTTTGATTTTGGGTATTTCAGGATCTAGCAATCTTGTATAGTTGTTCATTTTCTTAGTTACTGAATTATAGTGCTTGCTTTGTTAATTCTTTGCATTGTTTAGCTGAATTTGCATATGTTGTTATATATGTTTTAAAATCTGTGTAGCTGATAAACTATGTAATGAAAGGGGCTTTTTATTTTTGTTGTGTTTACTACTTGTTTGTTGATGTGAAGTTGGTTGTTGTCGTTAACTTTTGATATAGCTTTATCACATTGGTGTATATTTCACCGGAGCAATGCTGAACAAGTTGTTTCAACATGGAAAATACAGTTTGACAAATCAGATATTAATCACAAAATTCCCCTTTTGTATGTTGCAAATGACATCATGCAGAACAGTAAGCGTAATGGAAATGAATTTGTGATTGAGTTTTGGAAGGTTCTTCCTGCAGCACTTAAAGATGTTATTGCGATAAACGATGATAGAGGAAACCATGCAGTATATAGACTGGTAAGCTCCTTTCATAGTGTTTGTAGTTGTAAGTATTCAAAAGCCTCAAGTGAATGCATCTGTTCCAAATTCCAATGAATGGGAAAGTGGGGTGGGAAAGAATATGAAATTGCGCAGATATATTGATTCATGCATGGGCTAAAACGTCAGATATGACTATAAATGCCGATCATATGATTTGAAAAAATATTGATTTATATTTGTTCTTACTTAATTTTAGTTTGAAGTATGGGAAGGAAGGAATGTTTTTGGGTCTCGAGTGCAAAACCTCAAGGATCTAATGCTTGGAGAGGGTGCTCCTCCTCCATTGGAATTCGGCAAAAAGAGATCGCGTTCTGTAAGAGTTATGAAAAGGGATTCTGTGAAGATTTTGAAAAGGGATTCTCGTTCTATCAAATCGGTGAGACTAAATTTCACTCTGCTTCTCCCCATTTTTTTTACAATTCGTTGAATTGATGCTAGATGATTATATCCTTAAAAGTGGTTTGCAATATTCATTTCACACTCTTACTTCCATGATATTGTATGGTGCCAGAAAATGTCCATAGGAGGAATGGCAGAAAAAATAGTGTCTGCATTTCATCTGGTGCTCAGTGAACAAGCCAATGAAGATGCAGAGATGAGTAATTGCAAGTCTGCTGTTCAGCGTGTGAGGAAGATAGAGAAAGATGTTGATATTGCATGTACCATTGGTAAGCATACAACTCGGCAGAAGTAACACCTGGATCTTGAAAGTTACAATTCTAATATTGCTTTCTTTTTCAGCTAAGGATCCTAAGCGGAAAACTTTGATGAAGGATCTAGAAGAGCAACAAAATCTATTGAAACATTGCATAGAGAAACTTAAAATAGTTGAGGCAAGTAGAGTAGCCCTAGTATCTCAGTTAAAAGAAGCTTTGCTCGAGCAGGTATGTCTTTAGGCCCTTGAGCTCAATGAGCTCGTGTTTGCATTTGCAACAGATATATGTTTTTGGTTTTTCCTGACTGCATGTTTTCTTTCTACTGTTTGTGGTAATTGTATTAGGAATCGGAACTGGAGAATGTTCGTACACAGATGCAGGTAAAATATACTACTATTTGTTAATGATTATTTTCATCAGAAGGCTGTTATTTTTTTACTGGTTTCTTGTCCCTATTAGAGTTTAATGTACATCAACCATTTATTTGGGTTTCTTATCTAGTGGCATCTCTTTTATGTATATATCTAAGAAGTTCTAATTTGGCATATGGAGAACTCACTGCAGTTCTCAGAGTCTTATGTTCTAAAACATTAATAGAAGAAATTATACCTGATCCTACCTTCCTTAAACTTTATGAACCTAACTTCCTAAACAAATATCTCCCTTCTAGTCCTTTTTTCTTTTCTGATAATTAATTGTCTCAACAAATATAAACATGAGGTATGTTTTGCCTTTTGAAAATTTAAATCGAGAAAGTCGGTGTAATATCCTAATCTTGAGAAGGTATTTGTTTGGGTTTCATGAACCCAGGAGTTCAGTGTAATTAGCTGTTTTTATAAAGTTAAAGGCAGTTTTGGTTGGAGAATTACTTGGTGAAAGCCCTATAATACAAATTCAAAGTAAACGAGTGTGTTTTCTACCTAGTGGCATTTATTACTTCGTGTGCTTTCATTATTAAAACTCGGATATGTTTTGGCTTATAAAATTGCTGACGAATTTAAACCGATTTGATTATTGATCTTTAGGTCGCACAAGCACAAATAGAAGAGGCTAGCAACATGCAGAAGCGACTTGATAATGAAGATCCTTCACAGAATGCATCATTTAAAAGAACTTCAGGCACTGATGCAGCTTCACAATCAGAAGCAGCAACTAAAAAGTCAGCTGCAGCAATTGCCGCCGAGGTTGCAGATAAACTTACTGCTTCATCATCATCTCAATTGATCATGAGTTCTGTTCTCTCAACATTTGTCGCAGAAGAGGCAAAGAGTGCTCGTCTAACTACCGAGTCCACATCAAATTCTATGATATCGACGCCAAGTTCAGATGCTCATGTCTTTATGCCAGCACAACAGTTGACTGCCGTGCCAAACCATTCATATCCTTCAGTTTTGGTAACTCAACCAACTATGCACAATGCAGCCCCGTCGTTGCAAGGTCAATATCACTTATATAGTAATCCATCGTCCCAGCAATATGTGCAGTCAACAGGAGGGGTCGTTTCTCAATATGGTTATGGTAGCATACCACCATTACAGCAAGCACCACCCCCACCTCCTTTTACGAATCAGACAATGCAAATAACACAACAACAGCCGGTACCAACTTTTACTAATCATACAATGCAAACAACACAACAACAGCCAGTACCAACTTTTACAAATCATAGAATGCATACAACACAGCAACAACCAGTACCAGGTTATAGGAACCATACAATGCAAATAACACAGCAACAACCACAACCAGTACCAATACATGTTCCAGTCCCTCCAAGTTTCCGGCCACTTCAGCCATCCGGAATGATGTACTATGCTAATCATTAACATTAAATATGTGGTATACTGCAGCTGTCAAAGCCTTTGTTGTAACGAGCAAATTCTGGAGCTTCAGAATTTCATTTTTATGCTGATATACTGGAACGGGTTTCATAAATGTATGGAAGAAAAATTACTAGTCACCCGGGAAGCGAAAGGAACTGGCCTGCCCAGAATCTGAATACAAAAGTGAGTTGAATGTGATGTTTTGTTTGGGAGTTAGAAGAAAATAGGGGGGAAGACTTTGATGGATGGGTGTAGGGTGGGGGAGAAAGTGAGGAAAAATTCACTTAATTTAAAAGACTTTATGGAGAGGAGAGGAAAGGAGAGGAGAGGAGAGGAAAAGACTTTAGACTAAATTTTCTTTTGGGAGTATTACAAGAAGAGTGAAAGAGTTTGGAGACATTTTAAAATCCCTCCAAAGTTTTTTCTCAATTTATTTATGAGTTTCCTCATATTGGGGTATCTTAATAAGAAAAATAAACTCCCATGTAAGATGGGTGGTGGCGATCCTCTTTTCTTCTCTTTTCTTTTCACTTTACCTTTAAAAGCTCTTTGTTTTCCACCAAACTATCATACAAAGTCATGATCGATATTGATTTCACTGAAAAACTATTTATGGTTTCAAAGTTTTCATCAACATATCTTTGTGTTTTTTTGCATGAAATCTGTACTCCATTGAAGTTCTAACCGTTTATGATTATGATGAAACATGACCCTTTGTAATGTTCATGCCTCTCTATGTTAGTTACCTATGGACATGTATCATTGTTGGAATACATTTAATATTTTAATATAGAGATGAATTTGAAAAGATTCTTAAATCCTACATTGTTTGAAAAAAAATAAATGAGTTAATTATAAAAATTCTTTAGTTCTATTATACTAACTTATTTCATTATAAAGAATGCACATGTTTCACTCTAAAATAGTATACAATTTTTTTTTTAGTTCTTTCATTCTTATTCTTATTATTTAGTATTTTTAGATTGTCGATTTGCCAACTTCTCACACTTTTTTCTATTTGTTGAATTTTTTGACAATTTTCTTAAATTCTCTTTAAGAGAATTATTTAAATTTCTTTGTTTGAGTTGGTATATTACTAAGCATAAATATCGCTACTGTATATCCGTTCATACACAAATCAAAGTTTTTAGTGTCAGAGATAATTGATATTTGAGGAAAAAAAAAGTTCTATAGTTTGTAACCGTTCTTTAGTGTGGGAACGTTTTCTAATGCCAGCTGGACGCATTTGAATTAAATTGTTTCAGTTATTGTTTTATATAATATAAATGTTGGATATATTGTGAGATTTGGTGGGACTCATTTAAAGTTTTTGATGAGTTATATGGATATTTGAAAAATGTAGTTAATTGTTTAGAAAATATATAAGTGTAATATAATATAAAAAATTATGTGAGTCCCATTTAAAGAACCAAAATGTAGTTGATGAGTGTGGATGCTCTAAGTATTTTTTTGTATTCTTTTAAGAAAATTATTTGAATATCTCATTATTTGAAAATTTATTTTGAGTCATCAAACGATAATTATTGAATGTTTTTTAAATAATTTTTTTAATATTTCTTTTTTTTTTTTTAAATTTATTTTGAATGGTCAGACGACCATTATTGAATTTTTGTTGGAGAACTATTTGAATTTTTTTTATCGTTTGAGAAAGTATTACAACTGATCTTTATGCCAGATACTTCGAGTGATATTTATATAATATTTGATTGGTCTTTGTATAATTTGAGAAAGTAGTACGACTGATATTTATACTAGATACTACGAATGATATTTATATAATATTTGATTGGTTTTTGTATCATTCATGAATGTATTTTTAGACGGATTATCTATTGTGCAAGTAGTAATCGTTCAATGTAGAATTGAGTTGTTTTATCTTGGAGGCGTCGTAGTTGATTGATTGCTTTGCATAATTTTGAGTAGTGTCGCAAAATATCTTAAAGAGAGCAACCTAGTTTGTGTCTCAACTTGATAATTTTTTTAAGATCATAAACAACAATTTAAAGACGCTTTCAAACTATCATGACCACCGAAGAAATTATTGATATTTTACGGCTATTGTCTCTAACAAATTGTTAATGTTTACGGGAAGTTACTTTAAATGTTGTCAACAAAAAAATTTACAATTTTTCTTGATCTTAAAAAAGATTGCCAATGTTTTGATTGAAGAAATTCATGTTGCTTTTTCTGGATCAACTAAATAAACTAATAGGGAAAGTTCCGACATGGTTATCACGTGACTACTTTTTCAAGTGGTTTTCACGTCGCAAATGAGATATATGTGTCATTTTTTTGATGTGGTATTCACGTGGGTACTTTCCCACGTGTTTACCACGTCGCAAAATACACTATATAACCCATCTCTCCAGAACTCAGAACTCTTTACGCATTTCTTTCTTATTCTTCCTCCTTCCTTCTTCATTTTTCCTTCTTTGCTTGCTTTCTTTGCTTCCTTCTCCTCCTTTACTGTATTTTACAAAATTTTACATTTTTATAGACATGGTTAATATTTTATTTATTATTTTATATTCTTTTTCTTTTTATTTTCGTTTTACATTTTATTTTAATATTTTTTCATTATTAATTTTAAGTTTTTTTTTTCTTCAGAAGATCAAGATTTGGAAGATTCAAGAGGAGCTCATCAAGATTAAAGATTTAAGCTTTATTTTTGCTCCATTGAGACATTTATGTAATTTAAATTATTTATTTTTCAGATTTATAAGAATAATATTGTATATGGAATGTTTGGTTGTTGTTGTATAAAAATATAATTTATTGATTATATATGAACAACAGAATATATTATATTTTAAATGTGTATAATATTGATTATTTATGAATAATATTTTATATGGAATGTTTGATTGTTGTTGTATTTAAATATGTTATTTTTATTAAAAATAAAATATATATTATATTTTTAGTAGACATAATTTTAAAAATAATTTTTAGAAAAAATAAATTTTTAAAAATAATGAATATATATTATATTTTAAATGTGTTATTTTTAGTAAACAAATTATATATTATATTTTAGAATATGTATCATATTTTAGTAAACAGAATATATATTATATTTTAGAAAAAACAGAATTTTTAAAAATATTTTTAGTAAACAAAATTGTAAATAGAAAAAATTAAAAAATATTTTTAAAAAAATAATGTTATATAGATTAGAAAACAGATTGCAAATATTTTTAGAAAAAGTATTTAGTAATAAGAAGTATTTTTATTAAAAAATATTTTATAGAAAAAATTACTTGTAAAAATATGTTATGTAGATTTATTAAAAACACAATTTATAAAATATATTTATTTTAAAAAATATAATTTAAAACAAAAATAATTCGTAAAATGTATAATATTAAAATGATAGAAAAAAATATTAATTCGCAAATAATTAATATTAAATTTATTTTTATTAGGTTAAAATGTATAATTAGATTTTATATATTTATATATTTATATTCTTATAGTAAGAAAATATTTTTAGAAAAAATATTTCGTAAATAGAAGTATTTTTATTAAAAAAGTATTTTTTAGAAAAAATTACTTGTAAAAATATGTTATATAGATTTATTAAAAACACAATTTATAAAAGAAATTTATTTTAAAAGTTAGAATTTAAAGCAAAAATAATTCGTAAAATGTATAATAGTAAAACAAATAGAAAAAATATTAATTCGCAAATAATTAATATTAAATTTATTTTTATTAGGTTAAAATGTATAATTAGATTTTATATTTGTATTTATATTTTTATATTTTTATAGTAAGAAAATATTTTTAAAATAATGTTACAAAATTAGGTTGTTGTATAATATGAATTAATATTGAAGTAATATTTTTTATTTATATTAGGTTAAAACAATGTGAAAAGAATTATATTATTTTGCATATATTAAAATCACATATTTAATTAAAATAATATATAATGATAGTACAAATGTGCAGTATGGAATATTTTCGTTACTATCATAGTTGGATGTACGATAGAACGTTACCATGAATACGCGGACTTACACCAAATTTTGAGGAAGAAGTTAAAGGGTTTATCACGTGGGCATTTGCACAACAATGTTGTCGACGTGAAGGAGGAGTAAGATGTCGTTGTCTTAAATGTGAATGTAGACCTATAATTATATTAGTGACCCAGAGGAAGTAGAAGGTCATTTGAAGAGGAAGAGTTTCATTAAAAATTATTGGGTTTGGACATATAATGGAGAACAACTGCCGAGTAACTTACATGCAGAGACAACTAATACACACACATCAAACATTCAATCACATATGGAATTTGAGGAACAATTTAATCTGATCAATGATATGGTTGACAATGCATTTGGAGTAAATGTGACATATGATGAGCCTCAAGATTTTGATGGGGAAGAATTGCCGAATAAGGAAGCACAAAGATTTTACCAATTGTTGAAAGAAATGAATACACCGTTGTTTGAGGGGTCGACAGATTCAAAATTATCAATGTGTGTGAGATTATTGGCCGCAAAGTCAAATTGGAATGTTCCTGATCAGTGCTTGGAATACTTTGCAAAAATGATGTTGGATGCGACTCCTACGAAAGACAACTTGCCTACAAGTTATTATGATGCAAAGAGGTTGGTGTCGAAGTTGGGTTTAGAAGTACGAAAGATTGATTGTTGCATAAATGGATGCATGTTTTTTTTATGATAATGAGTTTGGTATTAATGATGAGGCACTGGAGGAATGTAAGTTCTGTAAGAGTCCGAGATATCAAGTTTGTAATAATAAAACCATTAACCGTAAACAAAAATGTGTAGCAGTGAAGTCCATGTTTTATTTGCCGATAATACCAAGGTTAAAAAGATTGTTTGCTTCAATGCACAATGTAAGTCAAATGACATGGCATCATACAAATCAAACAAGTTCAGGCATTATGCGGCATCCATCTGATGGTGAGGCATGGAAACATTTTGATAGGGTACATTCTGATTTTGCTGCAG